TAAGAAAAATGAAAAAGAAACAGGCGACAGGAGAAGATGGTATAGCAAATGAAGCTTGGGTGAAAGGCACGGAAGGCTTGATAAAAGATATGACAAAATGCTTAAATGGAATATGGAACGGAGAAGGATATCCGGAAGAATGGAGAAAGGGAATAATAGTACTAATATATAAGAAAGGGAGGAAAGAAGAAGTAGGAAACTATAGAGGAATAATGCTGATGGACACGGGATATGAAATATATGCGGAAATACTGAGAAAAAAGCTGGAAAGAGAACTAGAAGCTAAAGAAACGCTAAGTGATACGCAGATGGGATTTAGGAAGAAAAGAGGAACAATGGATGCGATATTTATATTAAAAACAATAATAGGGAAGGAAATAAGGGAAAAAGGAGGAAAACTGTTCGTATTCTTTGCAGACATGAAGGCCGCTGTTGATAAAATAAAGAGGAAGAAAATATGGGAAACAATGAAAGAGAAAGGGATAAATAGAAAAATTAGGAAAAGAATAGAAGAAATATACAAGAAAACAGGGAGTAAAGTAAAAGTTGGAGGAGAAATAATTGGGGAGTTTGAGACTTTCAAAGGCGTAAGACAAGGGTGCCCTTTGAGCACCACGCTATTTAATCTTGCCTTCGCCGACCTGGAAGGGAAGATCAAGCAGGTGCAGGAAGGAGGGGTAGTGATAGGAAGGAAGAAAATATGGAGATTAGGATACGCAGATGATATAGTGATGATGGCAAAGAGTGAAAGTGGAATGAAAGTAATGCTGAAAAAATTAAAAAGATACCTGGAAGAAAGGGAATTAGAGTTAAATGTAGGAAAATCAAAGATGATGAAATGCAGGAGAAGAGGAGGAAGGGGGAAGGAAGAAGAATTCGAATGGGAAGATGAGAAGATAGAGATGGTGAAAGAGTACAACTACTTAGGATATGTGATAAGCAGAAATAACGGAAACAAAAAGCAGATAAAGAAGGTAGAAGGGAAAATAAATATGGGACTCGGAAAGTTATGGGGGCTAGGAGAAAAGCTATTTAGAGAAAACTGGGAGCTAAGGATGAACCTGTTCGATGCTCTGGCGAAAAGCGTGATTATGTATGGAGCAGAAATCTGGGGATGGAAGAGATATGATGAAATAATAAGACTACAACTAAAATACATAAAGTGGGTTTTAGGATTAGATAGAAACACGCCAAGTTACCTAATACGATGGGAAACAGGAAGACAAGAAATGAAAGAAACAGCATTAGAAAGAGCAATGAAGTATGAAAACAAAATAAGAGAAGAAATAGATGGCTTAATAAGAAAAGAAGCATGGAGAGAACTAAAGAAAAGGGAAAGAAATGAAAAAGATAAAAAGGGTAAGAAGGAGGAGAGAGAGGAAAGGCTGGAAAAAAGTAAAATTTACAGAGAGAGAGAAGAGGGAAATGAAATGAGGGAAGAGTTTTGGGAAGAAATAAGAGATGAGCTGAAGAAAAAAGATGAAAAAGAACTAGAAGATAAGCTAAAAAAATCAAGATACATAAACGAGTGGAAAGAGCTGAAAGAAGAAATGATAAGTTATAGGTTAAAGGAAATTCAAGGAGAGGGAAGAATAAAAGGCCTGCAAATAAGGGAAAGGTTTAGGCTAGGTAATGAAACGAGAGGAAGCAAGTATTGGGAAAAAGAAGAAAATAAGAGATGCAGAATGTGTATGAAAGAGGAAGAAAATTGGAAGCACATAGTAGAAAAATGTGAAAAAAGCAGAATGGAAGGGGAAGAATGGGAAAAAATAATAATAGGAAGCAAAGAAAAGATAGCGTGGATGATGGAGTTGAAATGGAAAAGAAGAAGAAATGAAGAGAAGAAAGAAAAAGAAAAGCAAGAAGACGAAGCTACAAGACCCTAAGGAGAGACGGAAACAGAAGACAGAGAAGCAAGACTCGCAGACACATCGACACACACACACACATACACACACACACAAAACACAAACATACGCGCAATCATAAACATACTCATGCACACACACACACAACACACAAGTAACAGCAACTACATAAGCGAGAGAAAGCAGTATTGGAGGACGGAGCAAAATGGGAAAGAAGAAGATTCGAAGAAGAGAAAGAAAAAGGCAAATTATAAGATACTAAGGAAAAATAAGTGAGGTTGAGGAAAGTCAAGGCAGAGGGAGCAATAGGAAACAAGAAAAAGGTGTCAATGCCTTAATAACGAGAAAGATAGAGGAAATGATTAGCAAGAATGAGAGCAAAAGCAAAGGAAAGGCAAAGGTGAAAAGGCAAAAGAAAATATGCAAGAAAGAGAAAATCAGAAGAGAGGAAAAGGCAGATCTTGGAGAGAGAAAGAGGAAGAGAAGAGTAATCAGAAGAAAAATGAGAAGAAAAGAGGAACAGGCAGGCGGAGAAGACGAGGCCACAAGAGTTGCAGACACACCTACAAAGGCACATATTTACACAACATATACACACACACACGCACGCGCGCACACACACACACACACACACACATACATACATAATCAACTACACAAACTGGATACGAGACACAAATAGTAATAGAAGAGATGTAAAGTAATGTAACATATAAGTTGTAAATAAATAAACTGATAAACATTATATTTGATAAACGTTTTCGTAAATGTTTGATAAACGTTAGCATATTCTTAATACTTAAAAAATCGGTGGAATTATCCTAGGTTTTAAAAAATTTTTAAAACGTTTTAAAGTTTTTCGAAAATCGTTTTTAGTTAAATTTATAATATAATAATAGACCAAACGATATAAAAATATTTGGAAATAATTAAAAATAATTAAAAATATTGTCCGCTCAGACTTTTAATGATGAAATGAAAACTTTTCAAAAACACAGTTTTGGCTGAGTACTGAAAAAACTATGGACATATCCAATGTTTATAAAACATTTTGTGCTATCCGGGTTGTGCGGATATAGAAACTACGTGGATAGTACTGCCAATACGACATCTTCTCTGTGCAGTATTTCATGTAAGAATGCCAAATTGGTCTTGATCTTATCGGTACTTTCGTCGTGACTCTGGGATGTATGCCTCGTGGTTATGCGTATGCTTCTCGCCGATTTCCTAGTAGGATCTGATGTGAACAGCGACTGTTACTAATGATTCTGCTCTTGACTATCGCTACCGTTACTGAAGAACGTAAAAAGCGAGAACGTCGACTGCTGCTGTTAAGCTGGCGTGGCTTGTAGTGACGAGTTGTTCTGATGGGCACTCCTTCGAGTTCTTTTAGTCTCTCCACGCACAACGCTATCGATGACATGGTTGACAATGGACCTACTGTCTGCCTTCTTTGGCAACCTCTTGTATTAATCTGTTGCTGGAAGCGAGCCTTTGTACTCTGTTAGACGATGCAAATGCAGCAAAAGTAAGCGTAAATGGCGCCAACATGACAAATCATCAGACTCGTGTATCTAACAACGAACTGCAACTGGCTGCCTCTAGTCGGAATAGGGAACGCGCTCCTTACGGTTACCACTGCTGCCATCGTTCAGACTCTGCGCCTCGAAGTGACTCCTCCGCGGCTGCCCATGACGTATTTTGTCGTAACTCTGTGTGTGCTAGTTGAGTTTACGGTACAAGCCTGTACGCCATCGTCCATAACAATCAGTTCGTGCGCGCTCGTCGTTTTGAAATTCAGGTTCCTCTTATTAGCTTCTCTGTGACATCGGGCCGCGGTTAGCACGTAGTAAACGCTGGATCGCCAAATACTTTATAGCGCTGCAGTGTGCTTACGGATCATCGAGGCACCGTGGTCGTTGACCGTGTCCCCGTTTTTACCATGTACACAGTCCTCGGACTAAATGCTAGAAGGTCGTCACCGATGGTTCTTGTATAGCGATGCTTGGCCATTTAGTCCAAGGCCTTGCCCCTTATGACAAAGTTTTGATGGTCAGTGTTGGGCGCGGTGACGTTGGGAACAGAAAAGATCTCCTTCTTCCGCACTCCGCTACTTTTATATGTGTGGATCTAGCCGGCCAGTGCAGCGTGACCCGTCGACTCGTCGCGCAATTACAAATTTCTTGTTACAATACGCACTTTCCGATTCATTTGAGCTCGGCTGCCTTGAGCGTGATGAGTTTGGTCTGGATCTATTTAGCCATAAAAATCGCACGATCGAGGGCTAATCATACGTTAGATAGATACCTTTTCGTTAAGATTTATGAAGTTGCACCCGTCGTCCCGTAGTATTGAAATCCGCCTAGAGTAGACAGTCTTCAGAAACTTGCAAACTGCAATAGCTTTACATCTAACCAGCCTCTCCTTTGTGCACTCTTCAAGGCTGGTCAACTATTTCAAGATCTGCTGCCATGTGGTGGATCTTCACTGATAAAGCCCAACTTGACTATGATGCTCTCATCACTGTTCGGTATTTTTACCTGCTCGCACAGTCTTGATGTCATCTTACAGCGATCATCGATCTTGGTCTGCCAATTTTCGATGCACACATGTTGCTCACCTCATCCAATACGAGGGTCATTTGATAAGTACCTAGCTTACAAATAAAAACACCAAAATTTTGTAAAAAATAAAATTTATTTTTCAATAGTCTCTTTTTAGTTGAATATACTTGTTCCAGCGGTGTTCCAATTTTTTTAACTCCATTGAAAAAAATGTTTTCTCTTGGTTTGCAAAATAATTCTCCGTGGTGGCAATTACTTCGTTGTTGGAGTAGAATCTCTTCCTGGCGAATGAATTTTCTAGGTTCCGAAACAAAAAAACGTTGCACGGAGCCAAATCTGAAGAATACTGGGGATGGGTCAGCAGTTCATAGTGTAATTCGACCAATTTAGTCGTGGTGACTGCAGAGGTGTGAGCCGGTGCATTATCGAAAAGCACTTTCTTTTTAGACAAATGGGGCCGTTTTTCTTTTAATACGGCGTCAAATCGACTCAATAGTTCGGCGTAGTACTGTCCTGTGACCGTTTTGCCTTTCTCTAGGTAGTCAATAAAAATCACACCTTGAGAATCTCAGAAAACAGTGGCCATCACCTTTCTGGTCGACGGGACCGTTTTCGCCTTCTTCGGAGCACGCTCACCAGGTAAAGTCCACTGTTTTAACTGCTCCTTGGTCTCTGGAGTGTACCAGTGAATCCATGTTTTATTGACGGTCACGTAAGGACGAAAGAACTCTTTTGGATTGCGATTAAACAGCTCCAAACACTGCCCTGAACTGGTCACACGGATGCGCTTGTTGTCTGCAGTCAACAAACGCGGCACCCACCTTGCTGACAGTTTCCTCATGCCCAAAATCTCACGTGGGATATGCCTTATGTGTTCTTCTGAGATGTCTACTATCGCAGCTATCTCGAGCACCTTTAATCGTCGATCTGACAAAGCGATATCGTTTACTTTTGTCACTTTCTTCTCCGTGGTGGCTGTTTTCGGAGCACCTGGGCGTGGATTATCCAAAATCGACGTACGACCACATTGAAACTCGTTATACCAATTTTTAGTGGTCGCCATTGAAGGAGAAGGATCCGCATCTACTGCATCCAAACGTTCTTTAATTTCACTGCGCGATTTCCCTTCCAAAAATAAGAATCGAATCACCGAGCGATATTGTTTTTTCTCCATTTTTCAAAAATCAACGGTCACTTGCTTTCAAGCGCTGTTACAAATAAACTACAAATCCAATCCGGCTGAAATTTCGTCTGTAACTGTGTACAGAAAGATATTGCATTGTAGTGTATTTCTGGCGCGATAGCAGCACTATTTGGCGGTGAAGCTAGGTACTTGTCAAATGACCCTCGTACGAGGTGTGTTCAAAAAGTAAGGTGACTTTTCGAATTTCACGGGCAACGTACTTTCGATTATCGATTTTTTTGTTTTGTTATATTGGTACACTTTTCCCGAACATCTGTACCAAGTTTCAAGTATATAGAATTTTTTGTTTGATTGTGAGAGGCGTAAAGGTTATAAGTGTTTTGCGTGCTCAGCGATTTCTTGCTATCGAAAAATATTGATCAAAGGATTTGCATCAAATTTTGTGTAAAAAATAAAATAAATTGCTTCGAAATACTTGAAATGTTGACGGTGGCATACGGTGAAACTGTTCTGAGTAAAAAAATGTTTACAAGTGGTACAAACTCTTCCAAGATGGCCGGGAAGATGCCAATGACGAGCCTCGCTCTGGACGCCCAAGCACGTCAATAACTGATGAAAAAGTTCAAGCAGTGAAGAAAATTGTTCTGGAAAATCGTCGAATCACTATCAGAGAAGTTGCTGAGGATGTTGGTATATCGCTTGGCTCGTGCTATGAAATTTTTTCTAACGTTTTGGGCATGAGACGTGTGTCAGCGAAGTTTGTTCCGAAATTGCTAAATTTTGACCAAAAGAATCGTCGCATGAGCATCGCTCAAGAACTGTTGAATGACGTCAACGACAACCCAGATTTACTCAAAAGGGTCATAACTGGTGACGAATCATGGGTATATGGTTATGATATCGAAACCAAAGTCCAATCGTCCCAATGGAAGAGCCCAGATGAGTCAAGACCGAAAAAAGCACGCCAAGTTCGATCAAATGTCAAAGTTTTGCTCACTGTTTTCTTCGATTACCATGGCGTGGTGCATCAGGAGTTCTTACCATATGGACGTACGGTTAATAAACAGTATTATCTTGAAGTTATGCGCCGTTTGCGAGAAGCAATACGAAGAAAACGCCCAGAATTGTGGAAAAACAATTCATGGCTTTTGCATCACGATAATGCCCCTGCTCACTCATATTTGCTTGTGAGAGATTTTTTGGCCAAAAACAACACCACAATCATGCCTCAGCCACCATATTCACCGGATTTGGCCCCATGTGACTTTTTCTTGTTCCCAAAATTAAAGAGACCTATGAAAGGACGGAGATTTGCAACGATTGAAGAGATAAAGACTGCATCGCTGGAAGAGCTCAAGGCTATACCGAAAAGTGCTTATGAGAAGTGCTTTGAGGATTGGAAAAACCGATGGCATAAGTGTATTGTATCTGAGGGGGATTAATTTGAAAAGGACAACATAAATATTGATAAATAAATAAATATTTTTTCTTAAAAATACAAAGTCACCTTACTTTTTGAACACACCTCGTATGTGCTTGGCGTTAATTTCGACTCTAGCATTATAAGCCATAAATCCTCATTGACTGCATCTTGTCGAAGGATTCGTTGCGAACTTCGTTCGACACCGTTATCAATCCCTGCTCGTGATCCATTGCCATAGACCGACTACAAAATCAAAAGAAGATAAAAACGACTCTGAGGTAGTGTGCAGATGAACCATTAAGTGTGTGCACAGGCGGTCAAAAGAGTCATACGATCAAAATAAAAGGTGATTACTCACTCAAGCAGACAGGCCTTTGGCGGGGTTGCTGCTGCAGCTGCTTGGGTTGAGACTTCGCTCCCAAGCAATCTAGTCGCTCGATTTGTTGAGCTTGTCGATAGTAGATGCGTACTTGTGGTATTTCTTGCACAGGGGCTTAGACTCATCAAAATGTTAAGCAATTCTCTCCAGATCAGTGGCCTAAATTTAGCCAATTTTTCCATTGCTCGCGCTACTGCTCATAGGCGGTCAATCATATGGCTAGCGACCTAATCTCTGTTACTTTCAAACATGACTTCAAGATAGATGTACTCGTGCATACGAAGCTTTGGTCGGTAACCTCCTTCATGGAGGCCGAGGCTCAGTTTGCTGTCGACTTGCTCGAGCCGTTGAAATTAGTCGACTCCTGCTGGAGTAGACTAATTTCAAGTAGAGCAGAGCCCAAGGATAATGCTAACCTCGTTTTTGAAAAGCCAGCAGAATATTAATTATTATAATATGGTAGAGCTAGTGCAGCTGATGCAGGTGCTGTGAGTAAGTGATTGAATATTGCTTGCACGCTCTTATCGAGATGCAGGCGCCACAAATTTTCGAAGTATTGATGGTTGCGTTTTCAGGCGTTGAACTTGCGTTGTATCCGTTCTGACTTGCCGCCATAAACAAAGCTTGCATATCTACGAAAATCTGGAGAAAGGGCAGCTTGAAAGCGCGCTTGCGCTTCTTATGCAACATCGTTAGTCACGCTCCAGTACCTCTCTATGCAACTCGGACTCAAACCCCACGCGCAAAGTACTTGTCCAGCTTTGTGCTAGCCACTAGTGGTTGCGCGCTCCGCAGCACGCCGACCATCTCGTGGTACTTAATTTATGTATTTTAGTACAATTATATACTCATAATTTTATTAGTCATCAAATGTATTTAAGCGTGTTTTTGGACATACCGCTGAGCTCATTACTTATCTATCGATGAATGTTGCTGCACTATGTATCACATTGACAGCATTTCGGAGGCTTCCCTCGATTTCTACTTGATATAGCTCGAGCTACCTGTCAAGATAACCAGCCTCACAGAGCTGATCCTCCAAAGTTTCGTCGAATAGGTGCAATTGAGCCACTACTTGACATTATTCAAAAAAGAGAGATTATAAAATTATAAAAAAAATTTTTAATTTTTAAGGTTAAAAATAAAGTCTCGGATTACGTCTATTTTTCATCACCTTATTATAAAATGTTCTTGATTAACTTGATTATCAGCATTCATATTGAATATCATTGAAAGCACTACGTTCTAATTAAAATCTATATTAGAAAGTAGATTTTTTCATCTACAACAACATTCTTCCACCTTCACTTATTGACAAAAAGGTGCGAAATCCAACAAAAATGTGCGAAATTTAAACAAACCTTTAATTTTTCTATATCAATAAAATAATTACTTATAAGTTTTTTTTTATTAGTTGTAAGAAAACCGTTAATTAGTTGTAACAAAAACATTAACTTTTTGTGAAATATTTTTCATCTAGAATTTTTCACGATCAAGACTGTCTGATATAACGTTGTTATTATCAGATTTAATCTTGGTGAAAATAAGAGAAAAAAAACAAAACAGAATTTTGAATGATTGATCACTCAATTATTTCACAAGAAAAGTCTTTGGAAAAGTCTCAGGAAAAGTTACTGGAAACTATTTCACCTTGATAGCAGGTCCTGGTAGTCACAAGAAAATCCTCAGGAAAAGCCTCTGGAACGTCCTCAGGAAAGTCGTCTGGAAAGTCCTCTGGAAAGTCCTTTGAAAAGGCCATTAGAAATGCCTCTGAAAACTCTCTTAATTTGGCAGCAGGCACCAATAGTTGAAGGTGAACTTTTATCCCTGATATAAGATAGACCACTCGAGAAGCCTTTGGGAAAGCCTCTGGAAAAGCCACTGGAAATGCCTCTGAAAACTCTCTTAGTTTGGTAGCAGGTACTGGTAGTTGTACTTCTATCCCTGATAGAAGACGGGAAGGCTTTAGTGAGATGTGAAGCCGGTTGATCCGTTCAAAATAATGGCTTAAATGAGCTAGTACACTAATCTTTATACCCTTGTTCAGAACGCTCAGAACGCTCTCTTCCATTATGTTATTTTTTAGGAGAAGGAACAAAATGATCCATAAGGAGTAGTCCTCTGATGAGTTTTGAGATTAGTTCTGGGAGAATTTGTGGCGTCAGAGAAGATTTGATTCCAATTGCTACTTGTAATCCAAAATACAAAACAAGTATAATAAAAAATTGTGTTGTAAGTTAACAAGAAGCAAGATTCGATCTGTCTTAATTATACATAGGCGAAATAGGAGACGAGGTCAAACACTTACTTTTAATGTTTGTAAAGCCATGACGTGACAACTGTTTACCATGAATTCCTTGATTTGAGCGAAAAAGAAGCCAGCCATACAAAAATCATATGTTTAGGGGAAAATTTGAAAATACAGGCCGAGGCTAACAAGAATTGAAACATTTTTTAATTAAAAGAAACTAAATATTTACCTCAAGAACACAATTTAATGTCATGCATGCATCATTTATGCAAATTAAATTCAAAATAAAAGATTAGTGTAGTGTGATAGATAATTCATTATTGAGCTTAGAAAACAATAATAAGGATATGATTTTAAGAAATTTGATTTTGTTCATGAGTATGAAATTTAGAAGAACATAAAAGTATCAAAGTAGACATAGTTGAGATTCAAGAATAATGAAATTATTACGAGGGTCGTTTGAAAAGTCCATGCAAAGTCAGAGAGATGGCGCTACTAGTGCGTATCAAGGTTATTTTCAGTTAGTGGCGTATCTTGGAAGAGCACACACCAAGTTTCAGTCAGATCGGCTAATTATTTTGCGTTTTATATTCGTTTCAATCAAAGAAATCGAGTGGTTGTAAAAAAATGAACGAAAAGAATTTCGTGTATTGATTAAACATTACTTTTTCAAAGGCAAGACGCCTCAGGAGATTAAACAGAAGTTTGATGAACATTGTGGTGACTATGCATCTTCGATTACAATGGTTTATAAGTGGTTTCAAAATTTTCGGAGTGGCCATATGAGCACAAAAGACGCTGAACGTTCTGGACGCCCTGTTGAGGTTACCACTTCAGAAATCATTGATAAAATCCATGATATGGTGAACAGAGACAGAGCTGACAGAAGAGTGAAGGAGCGTGAGATTGCTAGTACTGTAGGCATCTCGAGCGAACGGGTACATAATATTTTGCATCAACATTTGGACATGAAAAAG